TAGACGATTCTTTATGAAGAGAAAGTCTTCCATATGTTTCCTCTAGATACATGATCTATAACAAATTTTATTTCTATAAAATACCTTCTAAAAATTGTCCTGTATATACCAAAACTTCTATGGAGTATATGCGAATTTTTTAAGTCTTCCAATGCTATATTTATATTTTTCCGGAGGTGGGTTAGATATGGCGAAATTTTTTAAGTTTTGATAGTACTATTCGTTCTTTCATCTTTTACCTATTCACTGTCCACACATCTTTCCTTATTCCTTCAGCTTTCGTTCATTTTACACACTGACAGCTATTCTAAGAGGATTCCTTGCCAAAGCTTAACGGTAATTTTAGTATAATTTTTCAATTCTATCTCACGGACCATTCGGTTACAAAAAAAAAAAAAAAAAAAAAAAAAAAAAACAAGTGTGAGTGGATATTTGAAATTCATTTGGAAATCTTCTATAAAATGACTTTTAAACAATTTTGGTTAAGCAAAAAAGAATGACATTTCAAATTCACCAAGGAGGGAATAGCACGTACGTACGTTGCTAAGTTTTTGGCATGCTGCATGGATGAGTTAGCCATTGAACCTGAAACATTTCAATATGACGGCGTTGACGACGACTTGTCTTCATATTCAAATGATCCCAATTCAGCAGCAGTACAGCAGCTATGGTTTGGCAATAGTATTTGGTTTCACACACACACACAAACAAAATGAAAACACCAATATCATCTCATTTTTGTTATCTCTGTTTGCTGGTGTTTCATAAAGGTTTTCCATTCATTCACACAGCTAGTCATTGCTTTGCTTTACTTTTGCTTTTAGTTCTCTATTTTTGCGAACGTATTGAATTGTCTTTCGTTTTCAATTGAGAACTGCGTTCTAGAGCGATTATTTGTTTTTGTGCGCTTGCAAACAAAGATAAATTGCAGGCGTATTTCCTTTTCCATTCAAGTATCGTGCCCGCACAAAAAGCTTTTTGGGTTTTTCGTTCGATGAATACAGTGGCTGTATTCTGGTGTGCTATTGTTTTGATTGTGGCATCACTTCCCTTCTTACCGTCTCTTCTGGTTTTTGGCTCGTTAGGGTTTGCGGTATGCGTTAATGAATTTGCTTTTGGCGGTATTGTTAGCTGTTGTTATTGCTGAGCCATCATTGATTGTTAAAAGTTTTGAATGGTGGGCCCGAATGCCTACGATGATGTTGAAAAAAAACTCCGTCCAATGACTATACGTGTTGGATGGTTATTGTTACGCATTGCATCATACCACACCTAAAGCAAATTGCTGTGCATGGAATTTGCATGCGCGTATGTATGTACATAGCTATGGAGTTTACCTCTTCATTTCAATTTTCAACTGCACCAAATGGTGCAGTTGGTATTTTGTAATATTTGGTGTATGTAATAACAGTGGTATTCAGAATTTGAAAAAAAAAAAATTGTAAGCATACATACGAATTAATAATACTGTGTCTTATCCAATATTTTCCGCAGTTATCAAAAATGAGAAGCTGTATCCGAAAATCGTTAAGGCGTCACTTTGAAAATATTATATTTGTTGAGTGTTGTTGCCTCGACACCACTGTTCTCCACAATGAATTCAATTCCGATGCTTTTGAAAATCACCGTACGCAAATAAGTTGCGTATGTAAAATACATTTTCAGGGATTTCCAACGAATTATCACACACAAATTTGCAACACACGCGAAAGAGAAGAGAACAAAAAAATCCTTCAACAAAAAGAATTACCGAAACCGTAGTAATTGATTGCAAATTGTGGAAATGCTTTTAACAAATCTATGGAAATTGTATAATTTACGATAATTTACAATTGTCCACGATGCAATTGAACGCAAAGTTTCCGCAGAGAGTAAAGCAACGAAAAAATGATTTGTAATTTAATTTATTAATCAATTTTTTATGCATTAATTCATTTTAATATAAATTCAGTGGAAAAAATACTTATTTTTTTACAATTTTCCCTCCGCATTTTCCATTTAAATGCAGATGAACATCATTTGTTTTGTTGTCACTGGCGGTAATACGGGAATGCGTATGAATATTTAATGAATTCAATTCAATTGAATTCGAATTCCGAAACAAAAAATAAATTGATAATACCCGATGAAGCCTTACAACTCAATGAACGCTCAAAACAGATGTGTGTGCGCGTTTTTTTTGGTAAAATGATAGCAGCTTGCAAATGTTTGCAAATAAATGTAATTAAATGCTGTTTTGTGGCCGACCACAGAAATTATAAACATTTATTTTTTTGTTTGTTTTGCGTTTAAGGTGGGAGGGTTGTATTATGTAATGTTTGTTGGAAAAAAAATGTTGAAAAATAAACAAATAAATTAGTATAATTAAAAATTAACATTATCTCCGGGTGACAAATTTTAATTATTTAGCTATATATTATTTATATGTTGTGTATATAATTGAGAATATATATAAAAAATGTGATAATTGTTAACATAGTTAAACAATGAAATAATAATGTACAATTGGATTACAATTTTTTTACACTATGCAATTTATCATCTGAAAGTGAAATGAAAACTAAAATACGAATTTGAAAGAGAACATTGAATTCAATATGAGTGATTAATGTTCATACATAAAAGTACAACACATTTTTGTATATAATTATTAAAAAAATAAGACCCATAGTAAATATATACAGGGTGAGATGAAAAAACCGCAACCAACTTCAGACTCTCATTTCTAAGCCACTCGTCCGACAGCTGTTAAAATTATTCCAGTGACAACAAGCGTACAAAAGCATTTTGGTGACAACTTTCCAGAAAAAAAGTTATCCGTGATGAAATTTAAGCGTGATAGTGTGATTTTTTTATATTTGGCTGGAAAACCATAATTGGCTATCGTTAGAGCACTCCAGCATTTAAACTTTACCGTATTACTCGTAGCGTAGCCCGCCGTCAAGGAAGTGGACGGAAGAAAACCGCAACATCAACTTGATCGAAACCCGTGTCGCTGTGGCCGAAGAATGGCTCGTGAGCATGTTCAGCTCACGAGCCATTCACAATATTCCATTCGTCAAATATTGAAAAATGAGCTGGGGGTAAAGCTATTGAAATTCCAAAAAGGGCTTTTACTATACCGCAACAGAAAGAAAATAGACTCAAAAAAGCTAAAGGGTTGCTTCGCTTGGCCGAAAGTGGTGAACTGCCGAATGTAGTTGTCTCCGATGTAAACAAACCAAATGATCGTGTTTACTTGCCAAAGATGTCAGATGGAAATCTGCACATTCGGTTGGCCACCAGAACTCAAGCGCCGGCCATGGTGATGGTGTTGGCCGCCTAACAACCGATGGTCGCTCTCCGCTAGTACAAATCGAATCGTGGCAATATTCTGGAGGGTGTATTAAAGCCTTGGACACGAAAATATTTTGACCACAGACCTTGGACATTCCTACAGGACTCAGCACGCGTCAACCAAGAATGGTTACAAAATGATGTCCCTCGCTTCATTTCCAGCGCACAATGGGCAACATTCTCCGCTTCGCCGAGAATGGGCCAAAATATCGCAGAGCAACATTCGGTCAGCGTGTGACGGTTTCATTGGCCGTTTGAAGGCCATAATGAGTGCCAAAAGTGACCAATTCGAACAAATCTAAACTTATTCTAAAATTTGGTGCAATTTCCGACATATTCTGCTTTCATTCAATAATATTAAAAAAAATAATGTAAAAATTATGGCGTTTTACTTTGTTGCAGTTTTTTTATCCCACCCTTATTTATGAAACCCCTAACAGTATACATCACACACCATGACATTCTCATCGATTAGGTTTAAAATTGAGGCTGTAAAATTCGTACAATCGGAATTTACCATTAAAAAGATTCTACATCATAGGGTATATTATATAAGAGATATGCCATGGTAAATTATTACCATAATAAAGGGAAAAAGCAAACTATAGGTCTAAAAATTGGACTAGGCTTTTAACAGACAGAAAATAGTAGTTGAAAAAATCTTCAAAATATCGAAAATTGGGATTGCGATTGTATTGGGCTACACCAAAACGTACACCAATATTTATCATTTTTTATATGAAGATTTGACTCTTTGATAATTTGAGTCGAAAATTAGATATCCTCAGGGCAGATTGTGCCTGCAATAACCACTTTTACATCAAGGTGTGCTTTAGATTTAATACAGAGAAATGTGGTAACTAAACTCTGTGACTCTCTAAATTCGAAGAAGCCCATAAAATATAATATGAAGACGTAGCATAAACCTATGTTATCATTACATTTTTGTGATGCCGGAAAGTGCATCTAGATGCAATGGAAATTCAAAAATTGAATTTTATCAGAATAATAGATTTTTTGATATGGCCCTATATCAAGGATTCTTGATTGCTTGTTCATGTCGTTAATTTGATCATTTAAGTCATTTCATACCCATATCCCAAAATTATGCAATTTCATTGTACTTTGTACTCTATATTGCCTTTGTGTCAAAGAACCACAATGAGCTTTAATTTGTTTTTTTATAGAAAATTTCCAATACTTAAAATGCATTCCTCCTACCACATCCACAATATTTGAATTTTATTAACGAACAATATTTTGACAAAACCTTTTGATGTCACAGTCAAAGCGTTGTTGTTTTTGTGTGGAAAACAAAAAATGTCAAAGTTAAAAGAATTCATTATTATGGCGATGTTAAAGGGGAAAGGCACATCCAAATCTTGGTCCTTTGTTAGCTTCCACTGCAACGTATTTACAGAGGACAGAGGCACAAAGCCGTGCATGATCTTCCTCCGCTCTTTCTTTTTTCCTGGCCACACATTTCCAATAAAAAGTCAATGACTCAAACTTTCGCTTTGCACAAATTTTTGCTAATTAATTTTACTCAGTTGCTAAGCAGGTGAATGCTGCTGCGGCCCAAAACATTGTTTTGGGCTTAATTCTGTTACGATAGTGGTTGTGGTGGTGGTAGAGAACAAAAATGTGATGACAGGTCTACTTACCCCTTCTTCTTTGCCTTGCAGAAAATGAACGGCACCCGAACGTTGAATGCCGGGTAAAAACCACACTGGATGTGTCAACAGCAAACGCTCCACCAGACCCAAATCACAGGGAGGCGAATCATCATCCGAGCCACGGGAAGTTTCACTTGATGTTTCACCCTCGGCCAAAATGCCGCCATCTGAACTCGAAACAAGAGATGTACGGGACTGTAAAGAGAATGGAGAGAGAGAAAATGAGAAAAAATATGAATAAGTTTTTTTTTGTAAAATAGGTTGGGTTAAAAGTTTATTTATTTCCTTTTTTACTAAATTCATTATTAGCCTTCTTTTCTTCAATACAAAATCGGCTTAAACAGTTGTTGTTGTTTTTTTTTGCTCGCTTAACATGAAAAACAAATCCATTCAAAACATGTTTTATCCTCATACCAAATGAAAATAAATATGCAAGGAACAAAGGATAGAATTTGAACAAGGTTTTTGCTCAAAAAAGAATATTTCAAAAATGGTATTCCTGGCATTGTTAAATATTCTGGCTTAAAAATTGTTTTTTTTTCTTTATGAGTAAGAGTTAGGATTCATTATCTGTGAATATGTTCAAACAGATGTTACCATTTCGATGCAGACATTTGTTCTTTTCCAGTCTGTTAGCCAAGTTAGTTGTCCAAGGGACATAATATGCGTATGGTCAGCTAGTGTAGAAGTGTATGGTAGATGTTGAATTGATGAAATTGTCATGTGGTGTCATCATTAGGGTGACTTTATGGTTGGGTGCCAATAATTTTGTCGTTGGCTTCGTGTATTTAAGGTTGTGTCTCGTTTTGCATATTTTGTTTAACGCAAAAAGTGTCATATGTTTTATTGAGGAATAAATGGAGTAGATATAGTCGACTGACATGACTTTAAAATAGATGAACAACAGATTTATTATGAAGGGTTAGATGAGAGGTCTAAATTAAAATACAACAAGTAGAAAATTCTTTAAACTTCAAACCGTAATTTTTATGCCCCACACCATGAGTACTCATTCACAATACTTTAAGTCGATCGACATTTTTATATGGGGTTTCGACACTGAACCAAAAAACAAAATACGAAAGGCGAAATCTTTATATGGTGTGTATGCCTAAACCTGGAAATGAAAATGGTCGTTTCATTAGGAAGACCAAATAACTTGCACTTCGGATGGAAAAAAGGGCATGGAACCATAAAAATAATTAAAATGGGGATTATATATAATGATGGATCGATATTGATAATGTTTAGTTGGAAGATTTGCCATCCAATGAGAACTCAAACTATAAAATGAATAATGTCAATAATAAAATAAATTAATTCAAAATATAAAATGAGTCAATTCATTTCAAAGCCTTGTCTGAAATTCTGAAAATACCAACAAATTATGCGGTACTGCTATGTGGAGGCCATTATCAGTACCAAACATTCTAGAAGTAATAACAACGTATGTACGAATAGGAATACCAGCTGAAAAAAATGCTCATAGGAAAATATCCAAAATGATCGAAATTTGTATATGGAGGTTATACCTAAAGATGGACCTATATTGAAAATTATTAGAGGATGATTTGCAGCCCAAAGATAACTCAATAAATAAAATTAGAACAAATTTGGTAGAAACAAGTTTCTGAAATTTTTAAAATACCTAAAATTTTTGGTACTTTTATAAGGAATCTCTTCCAGAACGTGAACATATATTTTCATTACCAATCATTCTAGAAGTAATATCAACCTTAATTTCAAAGCTAAATCATAAATAGTACCATCTCTATCCCGATTCGAACAGACCGATATGCTGAGGTGTTGCAAAAGGAATGACAATGTTAATAGTTTTTAAAATTTACATTATAAACATTAATATTTATTCTGAAGAATTTTAGTTAACATTATATGCCCTGTTGAGGATACTCCACGATATCCTAATTGATATTTATTTCTATTTTCAACCAAGCATTTGTGAAATCTTCGTATTGTGGAAATATGTTAGTTTTGAAAATTGTTTATGAAAATCTACCTCAAATGTAAATCCTTCTAAAAATGTTTTTTTCTCTTCTGAAATTGGACTTGATTTTTATTATTCCCAAAAACATAGTTTTCTTTGAAGTGTTCGAATTCAAAAGATTTCATTCACATTTATGGTTGTCCTACGTCTTAAACTCCTTCTACTACCAAAATAAGATTATTAATAGACCAATTCTATTTCGCATTGTTAAAATCAAATTAAATTCCATTCCATTCAAATCTGAGACAATAATTAAATCAAAATGTCACAGCAAAGCAAAAAAGAATAGGTTTTCCTTTCAATTAAACACGCACTAAAAATCACTTAGTCCTGTTCTGGTTCTGGCCTGGAATCATCCCACATATACACACCCACCCCTGATCAGGGTTCGTACAATGACAAACAACTTAATTTCCGTTCACTTCTCTATATTTTATAATGTAGTTTCTGCTTCTTCTTCTTTATTTGCTACTGCTGCTGGCATGTCATCGTCGTACAAAGAGAAACGTAAACGCCCGGTTTTTCTGATGTGCTGTTGTTGTTGCTGCAGATTCGGCTAAATTTGTTTCAAGAATTTTTGTACTGAGATTTTGTCCACAAAAAAGGGCGTAGCTATAGCTTTTAACGTAGAACGCCTCTATGATGAAAATTGAAAATTACTCCACGCCGAACTCTTCTTGCAGTGATATTCACACTTACGAATATTCGTGGGGTAACCAGCATATAAATGGGTTCTCCCGTCATCTTCGCCTGCCTATTGGTGTGAATGAATGTTGTCATCATATTGAAGTGTTTTATACTCTACACTGTATGTATGTATATAGTAAATACTGTCTACAACAAAAGACATTCCTTTGATGAATATAGCAGGAGCAACAGAAGAAGAAGTAGAAAAAACTAGACAGTACTTGAACTGTAAATCTTAAGATGAGAATGTGTAAGAAAAAGAACAAGAAAACTTGTTCACCTGCCAGGCATAATGATAGTAGAATATAGATTTTTAACAAGACAATAAAAAAGATTGATGCACAATGGGAAGAAACTAAACAAAAATTTATAATTTATTTTATTTTTAAATATTTTTAATTACATTTTTTGACATTTCAAGCTGTTTAAATTAAATACGAGTTTAGAACGCTACGAAAAATCCATCTAGGCCAAACTATTTATATACCGATCATATTTCGACTATCTGAATCCATCTAGCTATGTGTTTCCGTAATTTGTAATAGAAGTGCAGGTGGAGTTACGTATCGATCGCCCGAAGTTTTGAAATTTGGTTAAGTACCGATAATATATTAAGCATTTTATGATGATCCGTCATATTTTTATGCTCAAATGCACCACGACTTTTGTGAAAAATTACCAAATTTGCTTATTAAAGCATATTTGTCCACCACGGGAAGAATGTTTTTGGAAAAGTAGCCAGTTTTTCTAATCTGGTTTAATCTGATATTAATTCTATCGATTTAAGACGATGGAACTAGAAGATATATTAACATTTATAAATGTGTATTCATATATTAGGTTAAATATCATAATTATCATAACGACACTAAAGAGTATAAATATTGCGAAATTTTGCCAGGCTCCACATGTAGTTCAATACATCGATCTAAAGTCGATCGAAACTCTTATATTTTGGGCTATGTCAAGAAATTGACCTATAATTAAATTTGTAAGGCCCTAAGAATACTGCGTATCAAATTAGAGCCACTTGTATCAAAAATTCACTTTGGACCGTGAAAAAACTTAAATGAAAAATTGGGATTGGAACTACACCATATCAAAAAACATTAATTCTACTCTCTTTATGGTAACGATTATATATGGGTATGAATTAAAAACGGAGTAGATATTTTTCCCCGTGCACTATGGGTCAGAGATCCCATTTTTAGTCATAATTAGAGCAGTAGGTTTATGAAATAAATATATATCATATATAAGGGTTTCGAGGAAGCTAATTACAAGAGAAATATAAAAATGTAATAGGGTGGATCGTAAAAGTTGGTCGGTCTGAAACTATGGCATACCTTAATTAAATTTGAATTATTTATTATATACCAAATAATGAAGGGTCCCATTTTTTAGTTGGCACCTACCCCGAAACTTATGTCAACATTGATATTTTTTGGTACAAAGATTTCACACCCAATGAGAACTCAAAATGCTAAATTACGGCTAAATTGGTTGAAAAACGCATTTTGATACCCAAATTGCAAATTTGAGGGATTTTTCTTTCTGTCCTTTTACTGTTCCTTTCAATTATAACTCACTATTTCAATCTCTTGTTTACATGATCCTTCGATATAAATCTAAAGTTGGCTAAAGACACAAAACACAGTTATATCCTTCTTCTATATTAAGTTGGACAATGGGGTGACTATGTTAAACTTGTCCCAGTTCTGTGGTTAGGGTATTTAATCTTTAAAGATTTTTTCCGCATGTCTGACTAAGTGCGAATAACTGACCCTAACTGTTTGCCATTGTGGTTGTTTATGAAGACATTTGACTGGGCTGGGTCTGAGTCTGGCACATGTGTTTAAACATTCCGTTTTCTTCTTGTTGTTTTTTTTGCTGCTATGCTGCAAAGTCTGCCTGTAGTCGTTTTTGTTGGCGTTATTGATTTTGAGGATATTTGCACTTTTACTTTTTTAATTCCCTTTTTTACTTCATTGCGTTTATTATATCCTGGAAAGTTATGTTATTTATGCGACTGGCGGAGACCTTTTTGTTGTATTGCTATTTGTGTGTGTGCGAATTATTGTTGTCAACAGCATTTATAAGAAGTGTTAAATACTTTTGTTTAAAAGTAAAAGTGTCTGTGGAATTTTCCTACACAGAAATTTTCCTCTTTGAAATGCAGACGTGGAAAGTTAAATTTTGCGAATTTATGCGCAGAATAGAATTTTTAACTATGTTAAATATTTTTGATATATTTTTATTTTAATATTCATTATTCTTCCCCTCTTTTTGTATTCTACCATAATAAAATTTAATAATATAACGATTTAAATTTCACTTTTATGCAAAAAAAGGTAATCCACTCCACAAACACATTTGTCACACCTTGTCCACATTCATGATTCACTTTCCCATTTAAAACACAATCAAAATGCTAACAAAAGAAAAACACTTTCCCTTCCTCCATCCATCCATGTGTTTGTTGCAATTTTTCATTTTGCTGTGT